CCCGAATCTTCAAGTTCGTTCTCGTGTTTGGGACCACATTGCGGGTTCCAGAAAATTGCGACGAAAACTGCTCAATTTCTCGTTCTAACAGCCGCATAATGGAGCGATGGGATTGTGGCTTGGTCCTCCTGTAATTTAGACGTTCCCAAGAAACGTGTAGCAAATCTTTTGTTGCAATCTTACAAACGTCGATTTGAAATCATTCGTCATATTGTATTCTTATCGTTCTTCTTTAATATCATTATTATGATCTGTAGACGAATTGCGGATGCATTTTTCAGCGTAACACTTTGTTGGAAAAATTGCGCGTAGTCAAATAGATGGAGCAGTAGCAGTGGTCATCTGTGGCACATGCGCCCCTAGATTTTCTATTTTGTAAAAAATCCAAATAAAAAGATGCACCTTGCTCAAAACACTTTCCAAATTTTAATCTCTGAAACTACAATGTAACAAAAAAGTTTCGGACAGTTAATAGACTTCGTGGGTAAACGTTAAAAGTCAAAGGCTTACAGAGCACAGAAAGAATTGAGAAGATGTTTGGTTTCAAAGTGAAACTACACAATGACCATCAGGAAAAGTCAAGGTAACAAGACTAATATAGAAGACGAGAAAAGAAAGGAAGAGAAAAAACATGAGCAGGGAAGGACACTTTCGCGGCAGAATTTTCATTCGAACCAAAATGAGCTAAGGCGAGACCATAAATCACACAAAGGGAAATTCAACGAAACCACTACTGGCTATAAAAGTTTATGGTGTTTTGGCCCTTATGGGCCGCCTGCGTGTATCATATATATCCTCGACGGAAGTGAAACTCGTCTTTTGCGGATAGTGGTGGTGGCAGAAGGGAGGTCAACGAGCATCGACTTCACAGGGAGATGGAATCAAGCGAAAAAGCTGGCTGTTCGATCAGTGTCTGAACAATATTGGTCGTCCGCAGTGTCCATTCGGTGTCCGTGATTCTACGAAGGAGTTGGAAAATATCCGAAAAAAAAGAAAAAAAAGGGGAAATCGTGATATACGACTTATTACAAGCTCCTGATTTACGACTGACTTCTACGTCAAACGAGATCTATGCCACGTGGTTGCCTGCCTCTTTTTGTATCTTCGTTTTTTGTTTCTTGTTGGTGACCTTGGAAGACTTTCCATAGATCAAGATTTTTTTTTAATGGAACGAAAGAGTGGTAGTTGGGAATTTTTTAGTGCGACTTGAAAGTTGAAGGCTGAAGAGTTATGTGGGAGAGAGTGCTATGGAGTAATTAATTATTCGTTTATTGCCAAACAGACGTATTTTTTTAAGGTTTGTTCCTATATATTTTAGGATTAAGAAAAAGTTAATAATTTTCATAAACATTCTTCGAACTAACTTAGATATGGTGGATAAAGTTCAGAATCCTTTTAAACATCTGTAGAAAAAAGTTCTAAAACGAGCAACCCATTGTTCTTGTAAAAAGAAACGCGGGATAGTTTTTTTCCTCGAAGGAAATAAAAATAACGGAGGGAAGGAAAGGGTGGAAAAGTGCAGCTTGCAGAATCGCGCTATTTTTTCGGCAGGCCAGACGTAAATTACTCCCGATAAGGAAGAAATTTACGAACGAAGGGTAAAGAAAAAAATAAGAAAAAAGGGAGCAAGCCGCGTGTTGCTGGCGATTTACGGCGAGCGTTGTACACGTGAAGAATTTACGTCGAACGTGCGTGCCTGCGTCCACATGTACAATTATTTTCCGACGTGATGCATTGATATGAGTCACGTACACTCAACCGGACACTGACCGATCCCTTTTTTCGCGATTTCGCGCTATTATCGTTCTTTCTCCTCTTCTTTATTCGCGGCCTCGTAATAAATCCCCTTTTTCACCAATATTATTCCCGCAAAAATAGAAAGCGACTTTCGAATTGCCCTATTCCACGTTTAAAAGATACTAAACATCATTATTTCACGGTCGCGCTATCATCATAGAAAGGAATCATTTTGTCTTCGTCATTGTCGAATCGTTAACCGATCCCAAATCGATTTTCCTCCAACATTCTTAGAAGTCTAAGAATTTCGCTCTATAATACTCGACCTTTCCTGAAATTAATTTTATTACGTTATAAATGTACATTATAACAGTAAAGATATCTGTAAAGCATTAAAATTTAGAAAGGACTGTTATAAAACGAGGTCAGGAACCTTTTATCAACGTTTGTAATAATTTCGATCGTGTGTCGACGTCGGTACAATCCACACGCGATCACGATCGCCAGTTTATACATTGAATTCGCGTGGAAATTCCGCTCACGCGACCGATTTAGATATTTCTGGCATTTTTCATAAAAATTTATAACACCCTTCAGTGAACTACAATAAGAGTTGTTCATTATTGTAATCACGAGCAGAATCTCTATTTTCTAACCATTGTATCTTTAACTTACTCGTATTTATGTGGTGGAGATTTAAACGCAACTTGAAACTTCTCGATTTTTACCGCTGAAAATAGTTCGCGCGAATTTACGCGGCACCAAGCTGGAACGCCGATATGACGTCCTCTCACGAGATTGAAAGGCGCGTTTACATGCACGTAACCGCGTTCTCCGACCGCGTGGTCGTTGCGAATACGATCATAAAGCACCAGGACCTTCCGTAGGGGGTGATTGGTGACCCTGCTCGCTTTCAACCACGATCGTATACTGTCTGCGAATTTGAGAATTATCCAACGATCGTGCCCGATCCGTCCTTCTCGTTAATCGATCACGCGAGCTGGCTATGAAAACGTCTCCTGTCATGATATTGTAAATCTCTCTTTGGAAATCCCCTCTCTTCTTTCACGATTATATAATCGATATTTATAAATATTAACTACCAAATATCATAATACTATAATACTACCTGCAAATTTTTCTAAACATAATCGAGTGATTAATGAATCAAAGAATTGTTCGAAATTTAACAACCTAAAATTCCACTGACGAAACAAAGGTATCCGTCTAATCAGAGTTGGCGAAATACGACCAGTACCCGTTGATCAAAAAGTTATACACGTATAAAAAGATTATCTAGATGAACATCTGCGCTTTATGTTTCTGCGGAGAGAAAAGTATCCATCTAAGCAAGTTCCTGAAGAAAGAACGTACCAAGTTTCTGCAGAACAATCAGAATTTTTTTTTTTTATTTATTAAAATTTACAATCAATTCTCGTATTGAGAATTTTCAGTAATTTAAACAGTCAGAATAAAAAATTATTTTTTATTTCATTTGGTAGAATTTTACAATCAATTCTCATTGAGAATTATGAGTAAATTATTCTGGCATGGTACTATAACTTGGATAATAAGTGTTTATAGTATGTTTGATTCTAACAAAATAAAAATAGCACCGATTTTAAATTTCTTCGTAGACATTGAAGTCGAGGATCGAAAGACTCGGAGCCGAGTAATTCAAGGTTTTTCTCGTAAGGATGTGAGATGGCCAGGGCGATCAAGCGGCACTTAGACGGTCGTCTAGGCGAGACGAATGGCGGCCCCGATGAAAATCGAGTTCGCGATCGTTGTCGGTCGAATATCCAGCGAGCATCAAGGATGGATCTCGCGCGCGCGTATCACCGGTGCCAGCACCAGCGGCGCGTCGTTGCACCGGCTAAATCATTAGACGCTCGAAAGCACGAGCCCCCCGCGGTTTCGAGCATTAGTTCATCTGTCTCTGGTTCGCTTCGCAGCCGTCCTCCTTGCCGATCCGATGGCTGCTCCTGCCGCCTCCGTCCTCGTCTCACCCCCGACAACCGTCTTTCTCCATTCCCTTCTACCTTTCTTATCCTCTTCGCCGCATCGCCGGGTTTTGGCCGGTGCTTCGCGCTTAATATATGAATCCCACGCATCGAAGCCCGTGGCACCGCGGGGTACAGCGAACGACATGTGTTCCGCTCCTCTCGCTCTCTCCTGGCCCCTCGTTTCCTCTCTTCTTCTATCTCTCGTTCTCGCGACCTCTCGTTTCGCCCTTCTCGCACGTCGCAATGCGAATCAACAGCGAATCGCAGGGTTTTTGGTTTGGAAATGCCTTTTGAAAAATTTGGAATATCAATCCTTCGTTTCGCGATTTAATTGCGTGAAACGGTAGGCGATGAAATTTCTTACCAGTTGTATTACGAGTGATTCAGTGAAGAGATGGATTCGTAAGGAAACCAGCAGTGTAATTCGCTATTCGTAAATTTCCACCCGTAATAAGTATCGTATTAGGATATCTACGTCGTAATTTGATGAACGGTACAGTGAAACTCGGATGATATTATAAGAAAAGGGGCTAATAAGATGTTCGGCAAGGATGCAGGAGTCTTTGTTATCTTGGAATTTGTGAATCGTAAATCGTATCATATGTGAGCCTATACTAAGTGTGTTTGTAGCGCATATGCGTTGTTAAATGCAAGGAATTTTTTTCTTTTTATTATTTAATTTGTATTAGGTTGTCTGAAAAGTGTCTTTCTTTTACAGACACGTTTTTTACAACGATGCATCTTTATACAAACATGAAACCTAATCTGTCCAACGTTGTGATCTTTATTTTGATAGAACAAAATGGATCATACGTAATTCGATAAAATAATACAAAACGGAAAATTTTGTGCATCCATTATTTCCTTATAAAACGAAAGAAACTTTTCGAACGGCCTAATACTTTACAATTTGTCCAGCTGGACATTCGGTAAATATACAAAGATATCTCGCTTTCTGTTCCAGGTTCAATCACCATTCGAAAAATTCGCAAGTTTGATGGATAAACGATATTAGTCAAGTTGTTCGTGACACTTCGCCAACGCTGAAGTTTTAACTTTCATCGTCCGAAAATGCACTGATACCGAGCAATCAGTACTGGGATTTCCACAAATCTAAGGTAGAGGATCTATTTCTAACGAGTTTTAATTTGTCCGAGGTTCATGTCCAATTTTCCAGTCTCGAATTTGGACACCGAAAATCGATCAGGGCCGCGTCAGTGTTGTCCAAGGAAAAGATTCATTCGCGGTGATACATAGGAACACGTGTCATAAATATCCCAAGCACAATGATAGATTCAAAGCATACACACGTGCTCTATGTTCACCCTACAAAAGGTAGATCCCCGTGACCCGTGACTAATAGGCTTATTATTTTATATCGCCTCGCATTTGTTACCGATACGCGTGTACCGGACCTCGCTCGTCTCACGTGTTCCAGCCACCTTAATGCGATGTTTACTTAATCGCGCGGAGAATGGGATTAGATATCTTGCGGCGATCGCCTGCATCCCCTACTCCTAAGTAGCATCGTCGTTTTCTTCGTTCTCTGCCACACCCTACTGATCCTCCATTCAGTACTATACAAGTATCGATTATGTTCCCTGGTAGACCATCGATCCTCTTCTTTTTCAAATTCTCGCATTCTTCGTGATAAGATTCAAGTTATAAAACTCAAGTTTTATACGTTCTACGCTTGGTACTGTCACTTTGGTACAGGTTTTGCAGGAAATAGAACATTTGTTAGATGCATGGACCAGAGAAGGTTTTGAGTAACAAAAGGATTCAAAGAAACTGCTCAACTTTCTCAAAAGGGCACGAGGGATGATTTGTTGGACCTCGTCTGCACTGCACGTCGCCAGGGTGTTGCTGGATGGAACAATTTTTAGCGAGAGTGGAGCGCAATCCGAGACAAATGGTTCCAATTGGATTTTCCCTTTTTTCCATGTCTTCGCTATTGTCTGCAATTGTTCTCCGACAACCGGAACGGAGGAACTCAGGCCGCCACGGAGCTCGTGCCAGCCAAATGTTCCTCATACGTTCGCTTTCTCCAGTTGTACCAGCTATAGTCTTCCAGATACAATTTTAAGTTCCAAACACGAAACTTTCCTCTGCGTTAATTTCGATTCGTAGGTAGAATACCTTAGAAATATGTTTCATTATCGCGATAGGTGCCAATCATAATCACAAAGTTTACGAATAAGCAAAATATAGCGACAGATATAGCAAAAGAGTCAAGAAACATCAAAACCCCCTAATTACTGGACTACTTGATACGTCGGACCAGATCCGCAGGCTGAAGAGACACTATCCGCTAGATCTAAACGCTAGATTCAATTAGTTATCTAAATTAATTATATCTACTTTTATTTATAATACATGCCTATAAAATATACTTATCTATTATAAGTGTTAACTTATTATAAATAACTGTCCATGTCACTGCGCCAAATAAAATAAAAAAGAAAGAAAGATCTAGGAGCAACAGAAAATAGTATGAATTAGCCAGAGTTGTAGAAGATAGATGAAAATCTTGTAACTCCTCACGTTGCTTTTCAACTATTCCCTAACCGTACCATTTACCTCATCTACTTTCTTACACTCTTCTTATCACCATATTCGTATATTCGAAAGGAATTAAAAAGACCACCGCAACCCGCCTTCGACATGATCAACTGATTAACAGCCGGAACGAAGGTGTTCTCCAATTCCGTGCCACGAATTCCATCCATTCGATTATCGTTCCATTGTTTGTCATTCCGTTACACGCTCGATCCTGGAGGATTTAATCCCGGAGCATTAATAAACGGTATTCGTGCCTCTCTTTCTCTCGCCTGGACCGATCCCGGGCCGAAGCGTGTGGCTTCGGCCATGCACAACTAACCTTATGCCGGTCCCACAGTATTCACGGGGCGATTTATGGCGCGTCCACTCATTCATAAAAATATTATTCAAATTTAGAATGTCTAGACGATGGCGGCGATGAGGCGAACGGGAGGTCAAGAGGGGCTGTGCACGCTCGTTCTCTTGGCCGTGTGTCTCCGAGACCTCATCGACGATCCTTATCTCGTTCATTGATAACTCTCAAGCCCTCGTGTCTCCCCTGGCTCGTGAACCTGCGTTTTTTATTTCCTCGCCGGGATTCAGGATCGAAGGTGCGGCGTTTGCCGTGAAAGAAATGGCCCTTGTTGCTCGAGCATCTTTGGAAGAGGATCTTCGCTCTACCTTTGGCGGTGATCGGGGAATTATTGGAATAAAAATTGGAAGATAAAAAACGGAACGACGACGATGGCAAGGATATTATTATGCAAGTACGTTGTGCTTAAAAGTTCAAAGTTATTCCACAAAGTTCCATTACAATGATATACAGAAGCAAATGAACAGAGTCGCAATTTGAAAGCGTGTTCGCAGTAGCGTTTTTGATCGTTCTGTTTGAACGTTAAGAACAAGACAGGATTTTCGACCAACGGCGCGATGTTTCGATGTTCGTCGTCGATGTTTCTTGCGTTGCAGGATCGTTTTTTTCTGCAGAGGCCAGCCATTACTCGCGAGGGACGTACGCGATGCTTAGCCATTAAATTTTCGCCCCACATAATACGCAGGCTGATCATAAAATTCTGTGAAAAAAAGAGAGAGAGAGGCAGGGGTATTATTTATAGCGCGAGCAGCCGCGAATCAAGATGTAAGCGTGGGCGATACGACGAGACACCGTCGCCCGAAAGGGGGCGAAAAATGTCCCCTGGCGAAAGCGAACATCTCCTCTCTTTTTTCTATGTCCACAGAGACCCGAACCAAACTCCATAAACAGCTGATAATCTCGAATTGTTCTGTTAGTCCTCGAAGACGATTTTATTTACCCTCGATGAAAAGAATTGTGTGCGAAATTCGAATAAAAAATTTGAATAAAAAATATGAATGGAGAAAGGGAACCTTTTAAAGTTAGAAATTCATCGCGCGAATAGAAATGAGGCGGAAAGAGGGCAGTGAAAGCAGAGGAGCGTGGAGCTGTTTTTAATTGAGAGATTAAAAAAAGGATGGGACACGGCGGTTCGGGGTGAAAGATAGCCATTGTTTGACCGCACGCGGCGCAAACGCGGCGCACACGTAATCCCAAACAAATTTGCGGATTACACTCGCAGCATGAATTATTTAATCTCAGCACGGTCTCATTGGTTTAGTTAGTGACCCGTAGGCTTTCACACAAGAGATCGCACACGCCCGCTCACCGTGATTCCATCCACCATCTCACCCTCGTCCACCCGCTCTGTCATTTCCCTTTTCTTTCCCAACTTCTCTCCCCGATTATCATTTCAAAGTTTTCCAAAGTTTGGCCATCCAAAGTTTTCCGCTACGCATACAAAATTCAAGTTACATGCAAAAATATATAAAACATCCAAAGTAACGTTCTTGCTATAATATTTAATATTTATAGTACTTAACATAATCATATACTATTTAGTACGCAAAACAAATCTACGTGCCCTTATCGTACCCATAAAACACAAGAGTGCACGAACACGCACACCTACTCTTTACTTATAACGTTTAACGAAGAAAACAGATCTACACTTAGCTTCCAATTATTTCCATCGTGTCTATAAAAATAAGAACCTGTGGAACCTCCTCGTTCCATTTACGACCATTGGAAAACTTATTTCTCAACCAACTTCCAAAACAGCATAAAACAGCCTGCAAACCCTCTTTCTAAACGTATCGCGTGCGCAGCTCGAATGATCCAGCATCCCCGCGTAAAAAACCGAAAGCGTGCACCATCGTCCACTCGCAGAAGCAGCTTCGATTCGCTTTATTTTTCTCTCGATCGCCGGCACGCGATAGCTACTTATTTTCGCTTAGACGAGCTCGACGTGGTGACTGTTGGGTAGGAGGGGAGGGCGAAGGGGGTTAGAACGGGGCTGGGGGGTAAGTTACGGAATCGTGCACGTGGGGGGTAGACCGGACGACATACGGAGAACACCGTGTCCCACATACTCTCTGTGCGTCCCATTGCACAGTGCCCGACACCGGGTGCCCCCATTGGTTCTCCATACTGGATAAAGGCGAGATGGGGGGTCCTTTGGCTCCCTTACTTTATTCCGGGCCGCGCTAGGGGGCGCCCCGTACTCTGGGCGGGAACACGAGTGCTAAAAGCGTAATGATCGCTAAACGAAACCTCCCTGACTTCGTGGCTTGGTCACGGTTCTCCACCGCGGGAGAGGAGCCGTGGAGCTCGGCCAATGCTACCGCGCATATAACCGAGCAAACCCCTAATTAATCGACGGTTGAGCGAGGGTGGAGCTGGCCAGGACGGCTACCAAGACCGCCATGTTGTCGGTGAGTTCGATACGAGTACCTACACCGCAGAGAATTGCTAAGTTATAGCGGTTTCTTTGGACAATCGATGGTTGAACTTGGGAATTTTATACACTGAGATGTTTTGGACGAAAGTTAGAAATTTCTGTAATCTTCGTACTCTTAGATATTTGCGTCCTCCCGCAGAATTTATTTTTTTTATTGCGCCTATAATCAGTTATTTAATCTCCTTGGTACACAAGTGAGAGCTGGAAAAATTTACCGAATGTCCAGCTGGACAAATTGTAAAGTACAAATTAAATAATAAAAAAAATAAGCGAGACGAGACTCGATACATTTATTGTAGGTATACAATCATATTTTTTTTTATTTATTTATTTACATTTTACAATTTGTCCAGTAGGACATTTGGTAAAATATTATAGCGTAGTGGTATAATAATATAACATATGGATGGCTACCCCCAGTGGGATACCATCTTCGAAATACAATCATATAATAAAGAAATTTCGAGACGTTTCTGCGCGTGGACGAGCGAAACCCGAAGAGAAACAAACGTCACGTTTTTCAAATTTCTAAATTTCAACACCTGAGTATACGATCAGTGCTTAGTCTGTTAGAAACTGTACGATTTATCTGGATGGAGGTTGATTTTTGTTTGATTCATTTATCTCTCCATCGACGCGATAATCCTAATTTTGTAATTTCTAATACTTCCAATATACGACTTCAAGCTCATAGAGCGGTATCGAGCGGTATCGATGGTGTTGTACAGAAGTTTTTGATATAAAATCCGTTGACATTTGGTCAGTAACCCTGCTGGATGGGACACTCGGCTACTCTGGGTGGCGACCAAGGCGGAGGAACCGTACGTGATTTTCTGTTCGATCGGCTTAGAACAACCAGGTGGCCTGGCGGCAGTTGTTTGCGAGCAACGGTGCCCGGATTGCAAAAGTGAAAAGAAAAAAGGAAAGGGGGGAAAAGAAGGGAAAAGAAAAAAAGGAGAGCGAACAGGCGCTCGTGTGCTCTTTGCGATCGCGCTCGCGCGCGCGCAACGGCGGAGAGACGAAATCATCGACTCGGCTGTTAAAATTATAGAGCGAAAACGGGCGTCGCGGTGCCTCCCAGGGCGAAGGGCCATTCAATCGCGAGGAACCCCCGCGAGGAACCGCGACAATGGCACCCGCCACGAGCCCCCTACCTCCTCCACGGCCACCGTGTACCCCCTTCGCGGGGGGTCTCTCTGTCTGCTACTGGTCATTTGATCGACGTGCTCGTTTCGACATGGATTTTTACGTATTCGTATTCCATCATGCCAGAAATCAACGAAGATTCCTAATGATTTGGTAACTTCGCGAAAAATCTATCGCGATAAATATACGATTAATTTGAACAAGACTTAGGTTCCTTAAGTTAAGGTAGGATTCTTCGAGACAGAAGAAAATTTGAGTCGAGCTAAGCGATTTCTCTTGTAATTCCCCAATTTCGATCATGAACAATTTTTAATCCGTCTATATTTGACGCAGTCCCAACAAATTCATGGAAATTTATAAGCCACGCATCTGGCGATATTACGTTGCCATCGGTGAAATATTACAAAAATCTAAAAACAGAAATACCAAATTTTCGTACGTAGAAGATTGCTAAATTTGTGTTATTAAGGAAAGCATACATTCGCGAGTGGTGTCACGAGAGATTCGATTTGAAGCAAGATCACCGAAGATTCGTTTTGAAGAGAACGGAATCGCAGAGAAATGGCCTCGTAGCACGACCGAGTTCGCAGGCCACCCTTTTCCGGATCGCCGGCGAAATTAGAGAGAACAGAGTCGAGAACGCGACGGCTCGAGA